CGCAAAAAAAATTTTTTGGCGGGAAAATTTTTTGGCGGGAAAAAATTTTACGGGAAAAATTTACAAGGTATTTTAAAGGTTTTTTACAAGTGTTTTGGCGGGAAAAATTGAGGGATCACTTTTCCCGCCAAAAAATATTTTGTATTTTGTGGATCTAATTTTGTTATATTTGTGATATCTTTTATTAAAAGAAGGGTAATTTAGTCATTTTGTACATAAAAAGGGGTATTTTTAAAAATGGACAGCCAAAGGGGGCATTTTTGAAAAGGGGTATTGAAAAAGGGGCATTTTTGTGAGTCTTATATGATATTATATATATTTGTAATATATATATATATTTATAAATATATATTTACCGTATATATCCTGTATATACAGCTGGATATACATTTAAGCGATATACGGTGATCCACCGCCTAACGTATTTTAGAACTGGGTTTAAGTGATGGACAAAGTAATCGGAATCTCCTAAAACCCTAAATACTAATTTATCGGCGGTACATTTTTCTGGGATAAAAAACCGAACCGAGGTTTATAGATTTCGGTTCGTATTCGGTTATTAGGGAAAAACCGATGGACAGCTTCTAGAATTAAAATCGGTTATCGGTTAGTTCGGTTAGTTCGGTTCGGTTCGCTTGAAACGAACGGTTCAACCAAACTAAATCTAAACCCTAATAACATTTTTCACCATGGTTCACTTAAGCCCCTTGTGTTGTCTTCGCATCGACGGAACGGAAGTAGAACTTTCCGACCAATCTCGAAGATTGTCTGCGAATCAAAATAGTTCTTAAATATCTCCAAGGTAAATCAATTATGTTGAATTCAAGTTTCAATCTTTGAAATCTCCAATTTGACTCAGTGACTGATATTTGTGCTTTGAGTGAGTTGACTCACTTGGTGCTTGGATTCTGAAATCTAGGTTTAAAGTTTAAACACTGAGATCACTCTATATCACAAATGGAGCTCAATTTATCTTCGATGGCTTTAACAAACACCAAAATCTTATACCCACCAGAAGTTTCTTAAACCCATCAAAATCTCTGTGCCATCATCAGCTTCCAAGAGTTTCATTCTCTGTTTCTTCTCCGTATTCTCTCAAGCTAATGACTTCAAGAAAGGTGAAGCCTTTTCTAGTTTCAAGCCTATATTTTGTGGGTTTATGCTCTAATGCTGTGTTTTGGATGTAATCTGATGTTTTCCGATACCAATTGACGGTAAATGAATATACTTTAGGTTATAGCAATGGCTGGTGCAAGTTCCAGAGACTTGGAGATGTCGAATTTAACAGCATTATCGCCTTTGGATGGACGTTACTGGGGGAAAGTTAAGGAATTGGCTTCTTCTATGAGTGAGTTTGGATTGATCTATTTCCGTGTACTTGTCGAGGTACTTCCTTCTGATATTAACTCTTTTTGTTACCTATCAAGTGAAGGGTTATGATCTGATTCATTGATTGAGACGATTATGATTGGGAAGATTGGTTTTCTTCTTCTTTGGTGGAGGAAGCATGTGAGAGTAGTTTAAATGACTGTTCTAATGCTAAAGCTTTTCTTGTTTTTTCTTTTATATTTTTGCTAGATCAAATGGCTTCTTAAGCTTTCAAATATTCCTCAAGTCACTGAAGTTCCAAGCTTTAGCAAAGAAGCTCAGATTTACTTGCATGGCATAATCGATGGATTTAGCATGGATGATGCATTGGAAGTTAAGAAGATCGAGAAAGTAACAAATCACGATGTGAAAGCAGTGGAGTATTTCTTGAAACAAAAATGTGAATCACATCCAGAGATTGCTAAGGTCTAGAAACTATTCTCTCACTCCTAAGTTCTAAGGGTTTGGTTGCTTGGATTCCCTGTAACTAAATCTCTCGTCTTTTTTACCGAGTTAGGTTCTTGAGTTTTTCCATTTCGCTTGCACGTCTGAGGACATCAACAATCTTTCCCATGCTTTGATGCTTCAAGAAGCACTTAGTTCGGTTATACTTCCAGCCATGGATGAGCTGATCAAGTCTATCTCTCTGATGGCTAAGAGCTTTGCATATGTCCCCATGCTTTCACGTACTCATGGACAGGTAATGTCGAAAGAGAAGACTTTCACGGTGTTACGTTTCCCTTTTTAGCAGTTTTTCAGTTCTATCTATCTCTTTCTTAAACCAATGGTCATGAATTACAATGCAGCCAGCTTCACCTACAACTTTGGGGAAAGAAATGGCGATTTTTGCTGTGAGGTTAAGCGAAGAAAGGAGATATCTTTCAGAAACCAAGATTAAGGGGAAATTTGCGGGTGCTGTTGGGAACTACAACGCCCATATTTCTGCGTATTCTAATATCGACTGGCCTCATGTTGCAGAGGAGTTTGTTACATCTCTTGGATTAACATTTAACCCATACGTGACTCAGGTATATAGTTTCTCTTGATCAAATTTTCCTGGTGGAAGGATTTAGTTCGCATTTGTAAAGTTCCTCACTGGTTGATTGTTCTCGTGGTTTTTGCAGATTGAACCCCATGACTATATGGCTAGACTTTTTAATACAATTAGCCAATTCAACAATATCTTGATTGATTTTGACAGAGATATATGGAGCTACATATCTCTAGGGTACTTTAAGCAGGCAAGTGTTAACAAAAATGATTAAAAAAAATAAGTCGAGTCATTTGAATGGGAAAATCGTCTCATTGTTTGAAATTTTGATGCAGATAACTAAAGCGGGTGAAATCGGATCATCGACAATGCCTCACAAAGTGAATCCTATTGACTTTGAGAACAGTGAAGGGAATCTAGGTAAAGCAAATGCAGAGCTTGCTTTTCTCAGCATGAAGCTTCCCATTTCACGAATGCAGGTTTGAGCATTTTTTCATATTAAGTGTGTCCACTAGATTTTCCTAACAGTAATGGGGAAAAAGTAAGCCTGAAAATTTTAAATGTACAATCTGCAGCGTGATTTAACCGATTCAACTGTCTTGAGAAACATGGGTGGAGCTTTAGGACATTCTCTTCTGGCTTACAAGAGCGCGATACAGGGAATTGGGAAGCTTCAGGTATTATTTCCGTTGCCCTAAGAAAGGTCTCCACTTGTCAGAGACTAAGGATGATCTTGATATAGGTTAATGAAGCTCGGTTAAAAGAAGATTTGGATCATACTTGGGAAGTCCTCGCTGAACCGATACAAACTGTAAATTTCTGGAAACTTTCTAGTCTTCTATAATGATCAAGTTAGTCCATGTATTGCTAATTGACGGAATAAAAAACAGGTGATGAGGAGATATGGTGTTCCAGAGCCGTATGAGAAGCTGAAGGAGCTAACAAGAGGAAGAGCTGTGAATGAAGAAAGCATTAGAAAGTTTATTACAGGTTTGGAATTGCCTGAAGAAGCAAAAGACCAACTTTTGAAGCTAACTCCACACACATATGTTGGCGCTGCTGCTGCATTGGCACTAGCCGTGGATGAAGCTGTGCACTTGGGACATTAATAATATGATCAAATCGGTGTAGATGATGCTGCTTGTTGTATTATGATTTTCTTTGCCCAAATCAAATGGGATAACAAGAATCAATTTTGACTTTCATTATAAAGTTTGCAGATTCTGACATTTTAAAACATATATTTATAGATGTCGAAAAGTTTTAAACATGAGATTGTTCTCTAATGAAACCACTGGCAAAGGATGGGACCAAAATGTAAGTTCTGCTAACAGTTTTGTTTCAATGAATTTGTTTTTCAAGATATTTTTTGAAAATGGAAACTTTGTTGCGTTTTTGCAGGAATGCAGAGGAATTATGGAGTTTTACTTGGTAATGCATCTGTTTATTATGCTTTATCCTTTGCTTTCTCTGGTCTTTGGATCTTGTGTTACTACAGTTAGTCAGTTCACATTATACGGATTCTTGAAAGGTGACAAACCTGATTTTCATGTCGCAATGCCGCCTGATAAAGCGAAACCGTTTTACGCCTCTTTAGTCGAGAAATTCCAGAAAGCATATAATCCCGATGCAGTAAAAGGTAAAACACACTCTCATTGATCTTTCTTGATCAAAACTTCACATTTTCTCCAGTCTTCTTGACTGAATTGGTTCCCTTTTTTTTTGAAACAGATGGTGTGTTTGGAGCTACGATGCAGGTAAGGAGATAAATCCTTTCAATAGCAAAGCTTAGTTCGTTATCTTGTGTGATTAAAACATGTTCTCTTGCTTATTACATTACTTTGATCATATTCAAAGGTCCATCTTGTACACGACGGTCCAGTCACGATGCAGCTCATAATCATTATGTATAGTATGTACTTATCTGATTTCTGGTCTAACTGTCTGGAATAGGCGGAGAAAAACGAATTATGGGAGGAAAAGCTGGTGTTGAAGGCGGATAAGGAGAAGGTGGTGCAACAGTTGAAATCTATGGCGTTTCCATCACCGGGTTTCATCCCCTCGCAGCATTCAGCAGCTTTCCATCCCAATAATATGCCGGTTTATTCGAGTTACAGTTACTATCCTCCAAACATGGCAATGTGGTCACCCTTACCTCCTGCTGACCGTGATACGGTCTCGTGATCACAAAAATCTTCCTCCTGTTGATTCATCATTGATCATAATCATCAATCGCTTAGGAATTTTGTTTCTTCAGATGATTCTTTATCAGTAGTTTTGCAGTAACCATTGGGAGATTAGATAATTTATCCTTAGGTGTTATTTTTGAATAAAATGTCTGAGTAACTTGTCAATTTTTTTCTGGTTTCTGTCTCTTGATTCAATGTAAAGGGGGAAATAGATCATTCGGAAATGTATTACACCAAATGTAGAAGAATGCAAAAAATCAAGGAGTATTTTGTAAATTACGCAAAGTTAGTTGTCCTTTATAGTGGGTCATAGTACAAGCATCTTAACCACTCATTTTTAAAACTCAATAATTCATAGCCGTTGGATCTTTGTCAAACCTGTAGCTTCAAAGCAAGGCAAAACCACCACCAACCGAATTTTGACATGTTTGTATTTTGTAATCATAAATAGTTTCGATCCAAAAACGCAACGTAAGATACTCTCTATTTTAGTACAATAATCCATAGTTGAAAATGTCCCACAGAATTTAATAAAAATGAGAGCATTTTTTCATAATTTCATAAACAAGAGTAATCTTTATACACTGAGAGTTTAAAAATGGTGTAATGGTATTCTATTAACAAAACAAAGAATCAAAAATCTCAAATGAGTTTTGTTTTTTCTATATATATGAAAATTGTACAGAGAGTTTTTCGGTTTTACTTACGCGGAAGCAAGTAACCAGAGTGTAGTAAGCGAAGAAATGGCGATTGTGATCCAACAAAGGAAAGCTAAAGCTACAGAGAGTTGGTATTTCCAACACTCTGCTTCAAAACTGCAGCTTCCTAAATCGCCAAAGTATAAAACCGTTATTCCCGCGGATGATGATGCTCCTGCTAGTGACAATGTCGATGTTACCTAAAACGGAAAGTACAAAAAATGATTAGCATTTTGATGATCTTTGTTTGAGAGAGAGAGAGGGTATACTCTTACCCAATCTCCAACTACAAATAGGCTGACTAAAACCGGACTAAGAAGCGTTTTCTTTCTCACTAAGGCGAATGTGTCTAGTATCGCAAGACCGAAACTCCATATGACTTGCAAACCCATTGCTGCAATTAGATAGCTGCAACCAAATCTTCCAGGTGTAAGAACAAATAGACAGTAACAAAACGAAGAGTCCACATTCTTTAACTCTACATATACTTGAGAATGAATGCTAAATTGTCACAGAATCAAACATTCAACATATCAGATGTTTTCAAGATCCTTGCACTTCAAAACAAGAAAAGAACTAAGCAGAAAATACAAAACCAATATCAAAAACTATCTTTCTCTAGATTGATTCACAATCATGAAGCATTACATGAATCAAGCCACACTTGTCTAACACAAGATCAGACTCAAACTCACTCAAAATTGCTTCAAAATCCTAAACACTAAATCCAGAGGTAACAAAAAGAGTCCAGATTCTGACACAACTTTCTCGGGATTGGATCTATACGATTCATCTAAAACTCCACACTAATCCAAGAACTCAATATCTTAAACTCTAATCAAACAGAACAAAAAAAAAAAAGATGACTTTACCAGAAAGCAGTGAAGCTGAAGAATCCACCAGAAGTAACCATATACGAAATCGAACCAGCAGCAAAAACACACTGAGAAATTCTTAAGACAAGACCAGTCAAAGTCCCTGGTGTTCCAGGGATATCTATCATTTCTCTTCCACAAGACACTCAAAACTCTCCAAATCAACACAAACCCAAATCGTGAATTATAGTCTTTATTACTTCTCCGAGATCAAAACTTCAAAAAACCAAACTTTCTTGAAACTCAGGCGATTTTTCCGGCGAGAAAACAATAAAGGTGAGATTTTTCGATTTTTTAGAGTATGAAATTGAGGAATCAGAGGAGAAGAATATGGAAAATTGAAGACTTTTTGTTTTTTTTTTTTTTTTTTCAACAGAGGGAGGGCACATAGAGAGGAGGAGAGAAGACGAAGAAGAACAAATGCGTAATTTTTATTTTTGTTAATTAGAAAGTGGAAATTTTTTTGAATAGTAAAATAGCTAATGGTGAAAGTGATGGACAAATATTTTTTTGTGTATTTTTTAATTCAAACTTTTGGCTCACTTTTTTCAATTAGGAAATTTATTTTTTAATGTTGATTGATTTCAATTAATTTTTTGTTTGATTAGGCTTTTTGGGTTTGTATGTTGTTGCTTATTGAGTGTTTTTTTTTTTTTTTTTTTTTTTTTCTCTTTTTAGTGTTGAACTATTTTATTACTTTTTTCTACTCAGCCAGAATATGTCCTACTTTTGGGCAAACTATACTGAAAAAATCACAACTTTTTGTTTTAATTAAAAGTGAAAATAATAGATAGTTTTTTTTTTTGTTTGGTAAGAATATTAGATAGTTTATCAATTATCACTAGTAAAACATCAAATTTTTCGACTAAAAAAAAACATCAATTTTTTTTTACTGAAACTTGAGAAACAAGAGAATAAGTAATATTGCTATTTTTTATACAAATAGTATAAGCAATATGCACATTATTTTTTATTTAATTAGTTTTTTAAAAAGCTTACCATATAGAAAGAAAAAAAAACATAAAAAAAAAGAGAATTTATTGTAAATAGCCATGAATTCAAAAAGAATTAAGAAAATAGTCATGGGCTACAGTACTTTATCTGTTGGATGTCGGAAAACACGTGTAATTACACACATGCCCTTTATAACATGTTTTTTTCTCGAATTACATGTGATAGAATAATATATCTTTTTTTATCATATTATTTTCCGGTTTTACACGTTATTTATAAAGAGCACATGATATTTTTTGAAAAAACACTCTATTCAGTTTAATATCTTTCTCTATCATGTTATTTTATAGTAATACACGTTTTTTTATTATGATCACATGTAATTTTCTTTAAAAAAAGATTCTTATTTTCTAGTAATTCACCGTTTTTATTAAGATCACATGTTATTTCTTTGAAAAAACACTCTATTCAGTTTAATATCATTCGCTATCATGTTATTTTGTAGTAATACATGTTTTTAATTATGATCACATGTAATTTCTTTAAAAAACGATTCTTATTTTCTAGTAATTCACGGTTTTTATTAAGATCACATGTTATTTCTTTATAAAAAGATTCTATTCAAGTTTAATTTTCCCGTAACAATGTTTTTTTTAAAAAAAATACTACGTAACAATGTTTTTTCTTAAAAATTCACTATGTTTTTTTAAATAGCATGTATTTTAGTTAAATATAACATGTGAAATTTAGATCTTACGTGCTATTTTGAAAAATATCACGAAACAATGTCGCCTACTGTAGATTTCAAAACAAACGGAGGATGGTTTTGTTATTTCACCTCTTCAGACAAGATGGGTCCATGCTGTTTTCCGACAGAATTTTCTCTCTCTGCTAGTTTCTTAATTTATGTGTCAAATTTGGCTAGTCTGTAATATTACCCTAAAAAAAACTAAATCAAATGATCCGAAGGAAATTTGAATTTGTTCGGGAAATGAAAATACAACATCATAATCAAATACAAGCTATTTATTCATAGCCAAAAGAAAAAACTCACAAATCTTCAAAAGAAACTAAAAATTATTGAAAAACAAAGAAATCACTTGTTGATTGAGACACAAGTAAATAAGCCAAACTGGATCAGTTAGTTTTTTGCTTCTTGGACGTCTTCTTGATGAGCACCCCATGCCTATGTTTCATCGCCATGAAGCACGCCAATGCAGCTACTATTCCAACACCCTGAAAATAATAGACAACAAATTTCAGTTTCCGATAATTTCATCTGAATTATTACTTTCTTAATGTTTAATTAACTATTCTTGTTTAAGTTATCAATACCTTAATAAACCTAATGAACAATGTGTTAAACTCGCTTGGTGTGAATAGAGGATTCGAGATGGCTAGTCTTGCAATCTGCAAAAACATAACCATTAAGAAGAATATGTAAAAGCAATGGCATAATAATAATTGTTATCTAGTCTGATTTATTACCTCGTTAAGCTGATCGCAGAATTTCTGGCGCGATTCTTCGTTAACCATAGAGGTATAGAGGCTCATGGCCACTCCATCATCTGCTGACACCGTCTCATTCACAAACTAATCATATATATATCAGATGTGTTATATACTTATATATAATCATATATTACCAATAATAATCACAAATATACTGATTATGGTTACACTTTAAGCCATGGATCGGGTTGCTTACCTCTTTGAACTTTGTGTAGAAAATGGTGAAATGGTCTCTATCAAAATCGCGATTGTAGAAATCGTACAATATCGGACTCAAAATGGCTTGGTATACAAGCTATAAGATCAAACCATATGCAAGATTTTAGTAATTTCGTTTATTCTTTCAATATTAAACCTAAGAATTCGAAAGAGAGGTAGATTAATATACCAAAAGGCGAAGCTCCTAGGTAGGTGTTGAAGATGAATAAGATCCCTCCAATAAACTTCATCATTATACCAAGAGAAACTATGTACTTTGCCTACAATTTTTTTTTTATTAATCATAACGCAAATGAACAAAACATAAATTAACTTGGTTGTGTTTAGTTAACGCTTTGGTATGATAAAATGTTTTACCTGGTTCTCAAAGAAACCAAGTTTTGGTCTTAACTCATCGGCAGCTACTCCGAAACCATAATACCTTAACAAACAAAAAAACCATGAAAATATAAAAATCACTAGCTAGCTTTAAGAAACAACAACATATGTCATTCAGATCTAACAATTTCACTAGCTTACTCTCTCCAAGCAGACACGATGAACGCAGTTGCAAAGACAACTCGACCGGCAGGCATAAGAAACGGCATTTTCTCTATCTTTCTTCCATATCTAACCACCGATTCTTGGGTTTTCTCCATGTTTTTTTTCTTAAAATTAAGGAAGATTATTAAGTGTATATCTATGTGTGTTTAAATGTATGAGACAGACGAAGAGAATTTGCTACGAAGGAAGATGATAAAGTCCTTAGATCACCAAGGAGACGACTAGATGGTAGATGATGGAATAATTGAATAATTCAATACACAAACTATAGGTTATATGATTATATAAAAGGAAGACGAATAACAAACACCTATTAAAAATGACTAATCTTTATGTCAAGAAATAACATATTGTTTAAAATACTACAACTTGTAATATAATTACTGACTTTCGAATATGTGAAAACAAAGACCTTCTGTGTCCTCATCATAATAAGAAAGACTTGAACGTTTAAACCTTTTTAATAATGTGTATTTTAAAGAAAATTTACAGTTATGCGAATGCTAAATTAGTTTTTACCAAAGTTGACTTGCCTTATAAAACGACCGGAACTCTTTTTATTATTTTTTGGATCAGAACGACCGGAACTTGCATTATTTCCGATTACAATATTTTTTTTTTTTTGAATTCCAGAAAGTTCTTGGCCAAAGCCCGTAATTTCTGCATGCTCGAAACCACAGTATGTAATATTAGTTTCGTCCTAAGCGTCACTCGAACCGGCGACCTTTAAGCTTTGCTTAGGATCTTTACCAGTTGAGCTAACGACACTTGGTGATTACAATTTTATTTAGGGTGAATCGTTGGACATACCAAATGTCTTTCTTGTTTAACCGGTTAAAAGTCAATGTATTAAGGATAACTATCGGGACTCTCACGTTTTGTAGATCTACAACAAATATTATCAAGTTTTGTCTAGTTTTGGTTTCGAAAAATTGTGAAAAAGTCATTAAAATATGTTTACTTGCTTGTTATCGACTAGGCTAGTAGCCTAGAACGTGAACAGTTGTGCTAATGTGGTCAATTATATATTCGGCTACAACTTCTAATAAATAAATTTAGTCATATTGTTTTTGTTTAGTATTTTGAACTTTTCAACTACATGAATTATTTATAGCTCTATATATTATTCAAGACCGAAGTAATAAAGGTAATGTAATTGTTCATTTGTCAAAAGATGATTCTAGTTCAATATCACATAGAGATAAAGCATTTGTAATGGCTTTTTTATTTTTCAATCAGTTTTAACTTTGGATTGGTTCTTGGCTTTGTTGAGACGATGCTTCATATCCAAGAAAAAGAGCAATGCTCCTACTACGGCCAATCCCTTGACGAAGCTTAAGAGCCGACGAAGAAACTCATTATGTCCGAACAATGCAGGGTTTGTCATTGCGTGATCCGCAAGCTACACAACACACATTAACTCAATCATCACACAGTGTTCACAAGCTATACAATTATTACATGTAGGCCTCAATAACGTACCTCACGGAATTTTGATTTGACTTGCTCTATTTGCTGCTCGTCAAAGTCTGATTTGTAGAAGTTGTATGCAGTATTGTACGACACTGTTTCGTTCAGAATCTGACAAACAAACCAGGAGACAAAACAAAGAACAAATGAGCTGCTAAAGAAAACTAGTTCCACAAAAAGAAGAAATAGAGGCTGTTATACCCTTTTGAGTTTGAGATAGAGCAGTCCAAATTCTTCAGTGTCGATATGATGATTGTAGAAATCATGATGAATCATTGTAGCAATACCTTGGTACATAAGCTATATGCACCCAAAAGAGACATATTGATTTGGAATGGGACACAAAGCATAAGATCTATAAGTGATGCAACATATAATTACAATAACTGTATATTATTCTTATAACTATTTCAATGTTTTAGTATTTAGTTTCATTAGGTTTCAAGCTTTCCTAAAAATAAAGTGTTCATGTTAGTACCAAGAGAAAGGCTCCAGAGAAGCTGCCATAGATGAAGATAAGTCCTCCAAGAGTTCTCACTATGATACTAACTGTCATAAGATACTTAATCTGGTCCCCTGAATAGCCAAACTTTGGGCTCCAATAATCTTCTGTTCCTATCCAGTTGGCTCTGAGCTCCATATAACTAAATATAATAAAGAAAAGAATCCTACTTGTTTAGTTTAATCATCAACTGAGAGAAATATTATATATATATATATATATATATATATATCAAGAACCTCCTTATTTATTTTTGTTTTTTATTTTTATTTATTTATTTTCAAGAACCTCCTTGTTGTTAAAAACAGAGGAGTCTATGGTGCCTAAGAATCATTCAATTACAAATCATATTTAAATGTTTATATATACATGAATTCTAGAAGTCATCAGAACCCATTATTCTGACTTAGATCTATTTGAATTCCAAGTAAGAATCAGAATGATGTTTCTTACTCATGCCAAGCAGAGAGGAAGAAGGAGGAGGCAAAGAGAGATCTTCCAATAGTTTCAACATGAGGGAAAGAAGCAACTTTTTTTCCAAATTTGTTCACTTTTCTTTGCACAACATCCATCTCCGATTCTTACTTTGTACCCTGAAAAACAAGCTAGAAGAAGATGATGATCCAGAAAGAAAAAAGTTTGGAATTTTAAAAGATTTTGTAGAAACAAAGCCTTACTCTTTCAAGACTAATTCGGTTTGGTGATGAAAAGATGATGAATTTGAAGATTTGGTCTTCTTTCCGGAGAAAAGAATGGATGCACGTTGTTTTTTTTTTTTTTTTCAAGCTTCTTGATATTTAAGAAAATTTAGATTAATTACATCAAGAACATTAAAAAAAAATATGAAAACAATAGTTAAAGGATGTGCATAGCATATTTCATTGACATCTGTATAGGTGCATACCTGTCCTCTTATTTTATTTTACACATATGTTTATGAGTACTATTTTATTAGCCTATACCATGTTATGTCTCGTTTGTACTTGGTGTGGTATAATTCCAATTCATCACATACGGAAAAGATGGCTCTCTTGACACTTATCTTAGGGATTGGACACTTGGCTATATAACTTGGCAAGAGTAGGGACACCTGTCAAAACAGTTTACAACAAAACCAAATCATTCGTATCTTTTTAAGGTTAAAGAGGGATTGATTGAGGTCAGAGAGCAGAGGTCATTGAAGGGTTTGGTTGAGAAATAGAAATAAACGAAGTAGAGAGATGTGTATTTACTTAGGTGACAAAGAAGAGTCATTCATAAGGGGAGGAGAACACTTGACGGTAATTTCCACTACAAAAAATCATCCATTGCTTATGAAGTTGTAGGTAAATTATTGATCCGATATTGTAACATGATTTTGTTTTTGTTTTTGTTAATTTATGTTTCCTGATAATGGTTAATTTCTGGTCAATGTAGTTTGGTAATTAAGAAGTCCGAGACCACGTTGATCACATGATCACATTAATGTCACTAATAAGCATTTTCTTCTTACCTAATCATAAATTAATGACAAATAATACACCTAACTATTCTTCTATTAATATTAACAATATGCTCATATATATTAGCTTGCTTCTATAAACACACTTTTTATGATTTAATCATTTACATTCAATAACAAAAAAACTGGTGTCAAAATGTTTATGTTTCCACTGACTTTTCTGAAAATATTTACCATATGATGGTTATTACTTGGTACCTCAACAGGATTGTACGTTTCTTATGATGATTTTTTCCTTCTGTTTTTTGGTTATTCCAAACGAAACTTCAGGAAGAGATCATATGTGGGCGTTGGTTAATGGTTATCGTGTGAACCCCACTAAAACCAATAATGTCATTATTCATTAAACAGTATTATTATTCTTAAAAAATTTGGTAATGCACTGCACACCTGTAATGATGTATCATATATTCATATCATTATTTTTATTAATGGTCTACTTAATGCAAATTGTCTTCTTTTTTTTTTTGTAAACGTTGACTTTAAATACCCAATTCATGAATCTCACCTTCTCTAAGATAAAAATACATTTAAATCATTTCATACTGACCAAATTTTAAGTCTTTTGTTTAAATCAATTGGCAAACAAGCCGGGTCTGCGTGAATGATGATGGTCTTTGTTTATTACGACTGAAATGACTAACTCAAACCTCTACTTCGTCAATGGATTGTTTCTTTTTTATCCATCTTAAAACATATTCTTTCTATTTATTTACTTCTTCTTATGAACACAGATTCATCGAAGCTTTAATCATATCACTTCCTTGATCGTTCGTTCATAGTTTGCTTTTGGAACAAGTAAGTATCTCTGCGCCATTAATCATCATGTGATTCTTGATTATTGTTTCCGATTAGTTCTTACATAGGATGATTCGATTACATAATATGTTTTGAAAACGTTACAGTTATAATTTCTGCGAAAATAAAATCAGTTTTATCTCTTGAGTTCTTTTCTTTTTTTTTTGTCTTAATATCCCTGACCTCAATATTCATGTAAACACTTGATTTCTCTGTTATGATTTGATGTTCTTCGAGAATACGTATTCAAATTCTGATCTAAATTTGCATTTTTTTTTAATATTATAGAAAACATTGACATTAGGAGCACAATATGAAGATGTCAATTAACAAGGTCAAGAGCATGATCTGCACAACCTTAACAAAGTCAATGCCAGCCATTGCCTTCTTTGGGAGAATGACATTTTCCTTTGTCTTTCTCATTACTGCTATCCAAGAGTAAGAAATATTAAAATAAATCTTTGATTCGGTTATCCGCTTATACATTCGAATCCCCAACGCTTGGTTTTCAACTCTGTTTAGTTATGCTGATCATTATGGCGATGGCGGGCCAATCGAGAAGACGATGGGACCAGCCGTGAACGTGTTGTCCAAATATGGTTCAAAGGCACTAACATTTTACTTTGGAATGCAAGTGGTCGCATTCGATGTTCGACTTATTGAGTTCGCACTCATAAGTGCAAAGGCAACCGGAGCTTTATGGTTCATCTTTGGACAATCCATCCCAGCTTACTTCTTGGTAAAAACATATATCCTTATCTTAAAAAATGTTTTTTCCTTCTTGATGAAGATTCTAATCTCAAGACATGTTTCGTTGATTTCAGCTCGCAACGCAAATTTTCTCAACTGTTATTCCTTTCCCTACCAACTTGAATGACTTCACTCAGGTTAAGCTTTGTTACCGCGTAAACCAATACATTGATTGATCACATGGTACTAGGTGATTAACAAAGATTGTGATTGATTTGCAGAACTTGACGTTAATCGGGGCGTTGCTATATTACATTGGATTGAAGCATACTATCGACAACCTCGATGAGGAACAGAAGAACAAGGAGAATGAGGCAGAAGGATGATAAGGCCTTAACTTCCAAAGCCAATGCCAAAGCAAACTGCAAGTGACAATTTCACAAACCCCATTGCTTTATTTGGATAGTTCCCATTATGTCTTTTCCTTTTATTTGTCTTTAATCAGACAACTATTTGAGCTTATGGTTTAGTAAGTAATATCACACTCCATCAATGTGTTTGTTTGCTGTTATGCTTCCTGGTTCATGCAGTGTATTGTTCACCTATGGACTATCGTTCAAGTACAAAGAAAGTGACATCAAGTACAATAGTAACAACAAAATTCTAAAAAATCAAATTTGTTACAAAAGACTATATGCCTTTGAACACTCACTAAACCGAAAATCTTCGTTTGATTTTACTTTTTCTGATTTTTTGTCAATTACAACAATACAACAGGCATCTTCAGATCATTAGATGCAAAAACATACTATAAAAATTTGTTTTATGAAATCAAAGAAGAGCAAAATTTAAGAATGCCAATGAATGAGATCATAATTTAACAAATGATAGATTCTTAACCAAGATCCATATTTTCTCTTCACAATCCTACTTTCTTTTTATATTTTCTCTTCAAATCCTACTTTCTTTTTATCATTCCGTTTCTTGTTTCCGTTAAGCGCAAACAAAGAGACAGATTTTTTTGTTCCATGATATTTTGTCATCTACTGGACCACAATTAACTGATCTATATATAAATCCAATTAACTCTATTGCAGAAGAAGGGATTCGAGAAGGTGGTGCCGGTTTTTGGTGGATTAATGTATGCTACTAGACCGCAAGCACGTTTCTTTTGTTATGTAATTCAACAAACTAAACAAAGGAGACGAAATTGAGATATATCATAAGTTGTATGATAACAAAGCTCAGGCACCAAAAAAAGAGTAAAAACCCTAAATCATTTTTCTTGTTGAAAATTTTATGGGTTCACACCTAGGGCATACGAGCTCTTCGACCACACCATCGTTCACCAAGAACAAGTCTTGTCATGGCTCTTTTCGTCTCGTGGATCAGTGGATGCTAAGGGCAGCGAATCAAAAGAAAAGCCGAAGAAAGAGTCGCCGTCACATGGATTTTTTGCGGTTTACGTTAGTCCCACATCTACTATACATTTTTGTAACAGTTTTAAGAAAAGCTAATCGGGTCGAATTTGTTTTAATTTTTTGACCCGGAATTGATTTGTTTTTGACCCGAAATAAGTGTCTCTAATCTTACCAAATTTTGTGATTTTGACCCGCATTCTCTCAATTGAATCCTACCATATTTGATGCTCCCTACATTCAAGGCCAAAAGACATTTACTTTCTCATATTTGAAAGATATGGAAAATATCTCAAATCTCACGGATCTTACCTTATTTCAGTTTTAACCAGAAATCAAACAAACGAATCCTCTCTTATTAGATACCACCTATATTCAAGCATTAATAATTTAGTTTCCCTAATCAATCCCATTTAAAGATACACAAAATATTTATAGTTATAACAATAGGTATAGATACTCTTGCCTATTAAAAACGACTGCGTGATAACTATAAGATTTTATCCACATTCTCTAAACTATCTACCTAGCATATTCTCTCTTATTCCAATTATAAAGATCACGAAATATATTCAATCCTTGCTCATCAAGATTTTCTTTTATTCACCTAAACCTAATGCATCCTACCAATTCAAACTATATAAATAGCCGCTCATTTTCATCTTTTCTATTCACACTATCTCTCATTTCCCGTTTGCATTATCAAAGAAAATTCTCTACCCTTACAGAAGTTCCTTCAGTAGTTTTTTGTTGTATTGAACATACAAGCTTCCTATTTAATATACACAGCAGGTTATAGACTTTCAAATCATATGTCCAAAATTGTTAATACCAAATTACAGTCTGAACTCTTACCTTCTCTTATTTTTTTTCTCGGTTATGATAAGTTTCTGAGTTCCACAAGCTTCAATGTATGAATCTACTATGTTTAATCCTATACAAATCAAGATCAATTGGTTAGCAAATCAGTACATTTGCTAAGTATAGCGACGTATGTAGGTTCAGCACATTGGAATCAATTCAATCACAAACAGTTACTGTAAATTGGTTTCAGAATCAGGTGGTCAATCGAATATTAATCCTTTCACTGTGATGCGATAGCTATTTTAACAAAACTAAGTTTCCAGACATCAAAATTTGGAACTTAAGAACTCGAGTTTGGAAATTAAGAGTCATGCATTAGAAGAACTAACAGAGAGAGTGGATCAGAATAGTAAAATGCAATTTAACTCAATACTTCAATCACCTTGATCATGTAGAACCGATTATCATCTCAGAAATCTTCGATAATCTCTCTGTTTCGATTTCAATTTCAGCTTATGAATCGAAAAAGGAAACGTAACAAAAATTGTCGATCGCTTTGTTTTTTGTTTTTTTTTCCTCTGATCTCAAATACCTAGTATGGGCTTCACGGTATACATCTTATTGGGCTGCTGTTTTTCTAATTGGGTTTCTGATCTACTTAACATGTTAATTATGTTATTAACCATGGGATAATATGATTCAAATTAATTAAAGACAAAGGGTTTGTTACTACAAAACAAACCTAATTTAAGTCAAAAAATTGTAAAAGACAAAATTATTGTATAATTGATTTTTTTTTTAAACAAATCCAACCAGGATGCAATCTACATTTATTTTAATTTATACTATGCTAAGTTTAAATAAGTAATATATTTTCAATCTATGTAAATTAAATAAATTTCATTTGAGCATTACATTACCAAAGTATACAAATTTACCTTCACCTTATCATAACCACGTACTAATACTCCAAATATCCATCTTACTACACACTGTATCTTTATACAATATCGGACATTTAAAAAATAAAATCTAATAAAATGAGCAGTAGTTAAAGTGTACCAATTTAATAATTTATACTGTTACTGTAAATTAGACGATTACTATAGTGTAACACTTATAAAAGGAAAACATATGAAACACTTATTAATATCGAAAACTAATCTAATTATACTAAATCAACAGTCACTTTTTCAATAACTGCAATACTATTTTTTTGACACGTGGCAAAACTCTTAAATTTTGCTTTCACTTTCCTAATCCTATTTTATTATTCTTAAAACAAATTTAAAACACGTGATCGCACCCACGCATCACGATCATTTTTTCGTCCACGATCTATTTATTTCTTTGGTTTTATAGCCACCAATGGATCAATCGTTAGCAAACTAACACAAACCTTAAGCTCTTTATTGTCTTTCTTCTTCGAATTCAAAACCTTGAGCTCTTTATTGTCTTTCTTCTTCGAATTCAAAACCTTGACCTGTACAGAGAACGAAAAATGTAAGATAAACATGTTGAGAAGAATATATGACGGGGGTACAAAGGCATTCTCCCATGAAATTACAAAAGTGAGTTATTTTGCATTTCATCTATGAGAAACTGTCAATGTTCCACATTTTTTTATGTATTGTTAAGCACCACATCGTTAAATGGAGAGAAACGTGAAGATGGATGATCGGTTTCATATATATGTTCTTACACGATTATATCAACAACACCTCTGCCTTTGCATCAATTTGTCTCTCTTTTCATCATTTTCATCATAAATAACAATGTAATTTGTCTCTTTTTTCATCAGTTTTTTATTTCAATCTTTTTGCAGAGTTTTGTGGCAAGATAAAATCAATCTCTTGCGCTCCTTTGGTTGAAGAGTTACCCAAATTTTAATGTACTTACAGGCGGTGGTTTGATACACTCTCTTTTTTTCAACTGTTCAAGTTATGAGTTTTTTGTCAATTACTTTAAGAATTCTTGATTACATAAATTGTTTTACTGATAAATTTTCTTGCCATTTGAATTTTTGTAATCCCAATCATCTGTATTTTTAATACTATTTGTTATTACATTTTGGTTAAACAAAATGAAAGATTATGTATATGATCTATGACCGTATACTGTTTGTTTTCTCTTTTTAACCTCTTTTACCGTTTATTTTCATTATCGTTTATTTTTATTTTGTTTTATTGTTAACTATTATTACACATACTTAATTACATATTTTAACCATAATAAGTAACACTTACATTTTATAATTTTCATACACAACCCAAAAAATAATTAAATTTTTATATTTATTAACATAATTAAATTTAAAACAGATGTGCCCCTGCATAGCAGGGGCTTAATACTAGTAACTCCATATAAATCATCACAACCATTCTACAGAATGAATATATGACATCAAACAACAACCGATATTATACACAACCAATTCTTCATTTATTAAAAATAACGAATAATAAAAAAAATTGAACCCGCGGTACACCGCGGGTCATATCGTAGTAACTTAAGTAAATCATGTATCGCGATCTTGTTAGTTATAATTTTGATTCATGTCTAATTCTTTTGAGAAATATCAAGCTTTATATAATAAGATTTTGAATATATAAAAGAAAAATGATACAAAAGTGGCGATAAAAAATAATGTTTATTCCTTTATAGACTTAAATACTTTAAAAAGATTAGTTCGGATAGAAAAATTAGCAATCAAACTCGCAATCACATATACTACATGAGCACGGAAAATAGGAATAGTATACAATTTACAGGTTCCAACTCCTTTGTGTTTAGCCATGCACTTTACTTTGCATTTGTCTTCTCCTAAACAAGTCCATCAAAACACTCTTTTGTTTCTCCTACAATTTTCCCTTTCTCTATTTATCAAAACCAAAATATAAAAAACTATTTCCAGCAAGAACACAACAAAATATTTTGCATGCCATTTTACCAAGTTAAATTACCAAAGTTAATAAGGGTGCTGAATCTAAGTGGATTAAATGAGCTTAATTGTAAAATCAAATCTCTAATCACTCTTTTATAAAGGCGAAACAATCATCTAACCACATTTAATATCATATCAAATAGAATCGCAACCACAGCAAAATCAAATATTGAATTGAAAACAGAACATGAAATATTCAATTTTTTTTGCTGGGATTTTGGTGAGTCATCTTTCACCAAAACCTGTTCAAGCGAATAGACTTTTCCGAGGAAACACTGTTTTTTCGAGTAGCAGTCAGCCTTCCATCCTCTCCGACCAGAGATTCTCGAGCGTGCTTCAAGTAACTATTTGGACCCCCCCCCCCTTCCCTCTCCTGTCTACCATCTCACTGAGAGCTGGAAGATAACAAAATGTAATATGTCTTTCAGCTTGTGAAATAGCTTCAGATCCCAGCTTTACTACTTCTACATTGGAATTCGTATCTTCAGCTCGCTTGATGGTCGTTGTGGCAGCTTCATTAAATTTTGAATGGTTAATTAAAAGAGGGTGATAAGAGAGGTTGAACCTAAAAATTGTTTCACAACAAAACTGTTGGTTATCGGAACTGCCACGTAGAGATTGAACATATAGTGCAACCAATGACGTGCTCTCATTCTTTTGTCTGCCTATGCAATTTCTAGCTCAAAATGTTGTACGTGTGTGTGTATGCTTTGATGACTACATAAGTCGAACGTGTGGATAGTTGGACTTAGTATATTTGATTGGATATAAATCGTAATCAGATTAAATGGCAAAAAAAAAAAATCGTAATCAGATTAATGATTTGACTAAACATGTTTCGTAAACAAGATAAACGGTAAACCGAATAAGCTCACAAAATTCAAAGAAGAAGTTGACATAAAAGGTTGATAAATGAACACATAAATGTTGTCAAACAGAATTAGAACAAGTATATACAATTACTTTCTTATTTTAATTATTCTAGTTTATAAATTTATGCCTTTTATTTCCTTGTTTTTCTTAAGTTATCATTGCAATTGTTGGCCAAAAACTGTACAACAATCTATTGCAAGAGTTTTACAAGTCATGTCAATAATAAAAGCCACATCCAACCTACCGACGTTAACACGTTTGACGTCAAAGAAAATAGCTAGGCCTGCGAAATTGAACCGACCGGTTTAATCGGTTTCGGTTACTCGGTTTTTCGGTTATTTCGGAAAATGAAAGCTGTTCCGAAACTAACCGACTAAGATTTCGGTTCGGTTCGGTTCGGACATGGTTATTTCGGTTTTTTGAATTCGGTTTGTCGGTTTAAAATAGTTGGGCCAAATAGTTTCTTGGGCTTGAAAAAAATTGTTTTTTTTGCCAACCCATACAGAAAAATGTAAAAAAAAAAAAGAGAGTTTTGTATCTAAAGAAAAAAAGCAAAGAAGAAGATGAATCGAGGAAGAGAACCAGCGGGCTGAGATCTCAAGAGTGAAGCTCGTGGTATGATCGACAAAGCATATGGTGATGCTGATCGAAGAAGAAGATGATGAACCGAAGAAATTAAAGTGTAGATGGAAGAAGAAGATGATGATGATGATGAATGGTGAATCGAAGAGGCAGCAAACCAATCGGAGAAGATGAAGATGATGGTGATGATGAATCGATGAAGAAGATGATAGTGATGATGAATCAAAGAAGAAGAGAAAGGATAATCGAAGAGAAGACCAAGAAAAAGAATAATCGAAGAAGAATTGGAGAAGATAGAAGAGTATAGGCGGCTGGGAATATTAGGCTAGGATTTTTTTTGTTTCTTCGGTTAACCGTCGGTTCGGCCGAACCGAACCGAAAATTTCGGTTAACCGAATCTAGATTAAAATCATTCCGATCGGTTTTACTCAATTAACAAGAACCGAACCGATTTGTCCAAATCTCGGTTCGGTTCGGTTCGGACAAATCGGTTCGGTTCGAATTCCCAGGCCTAAAAATAGCCATTTAATTTCTTGATTGTTCTTGTTTTAAAATTTCAGAGATAAATTTAGTCATTACTCAATAAATTTGACTTGATTGGTATCCATATATTAAATTAACGAATGATAGAACAGCAAAAATAATTTAGTTAAATAAAGTGAGTTACGCGAGTATATTTTATAAAATACTATTGTTTTCAAAGTATGCACAATTTATACCATTTTTTTTAATTTGTACATTTATGTAAATTTGAGCTCAAATAATAATAGCATTAACACAAATCACTCTTAGATAATGATTTGTATTAAAATTCATATTCATGGACCATGTAATGTTTGGCACATGAATTTTCTAGATATTAAAAAAATCAATAGTGACAACAAATGAGAAGTGGTCAAAAAATCAAAAACTGGCGGTGGCATGAAGCCATGAAGTATCAGTTACATCAAGTCCATTGGATCCTACTTACAATGGTCCCATCATCATCTCTCAACGTCGGTTCTTCAGTTGCTTTCTCATTATTATTTCATCGTAATCATCGCCTTTTTTTTTCTTCTTCTTCTTTGTTTATTGGCAACTACCACTCTACCAGAATAAAAAATAGCTGAAACTGGTTTTAGACAAACTGAAATAAAATCTAGGTGCCTTTTTTAAATGGTACGTATACAATTATCTAAATACACGCTATAAAAATAAGAAAACCTAGACATAATATAAGAAAAGTGATAAAAAAAATTATCTTAAATAAACTAAACATACTCAAAATCATATTAAACATAAAATAATTTTTCTTTGTTTATAAGTTAAACATACCCAAAACCTAGAATTACAGCTTATAAAAGTGTCACTAAGTTCATGATGATATATAAACCTAGATAAGTCTTATTATATCCTATAATTCTATAATATAAATTAAAAATATAGAAAAAATAGGTGAAATAAACAGAGAGTATTCCTCTTTATTTAAAAACAATAAAAAATAAAAATAAAGAAACAGAAAGATAGGTAAATCCAGCAAAGCCACAGAAAATAAAAAATAAAAACAGCTAATTCCTCTCTTTTTCATGTATCTTCAGACTTAAGACTTTTGACCACAAAAATCTCTTTACATGCTCAACACACGTCTCACATCTTTGTATAAATTACACAACACACACAAACACGAATCTTTAAGCTTCACAGATTCTAAAAATCGAAACTTTAACCTTTTTTCTCGGAACACCACAAATCTCATTTTTAGCTTTTTTTTCGATTCCAAATCTTGATTATTTAGTCTTCTTCAAGAACTCGATTTTCATTCGCGTTTATGTCGACGACGATGAAGAGACAGGGCTGCAGCTCAGATTCCGGTGATCTACGGCGGCAGCCCAGTCGTCTACAAAAACGACCTCCGGCTTTAAAACTGGTTCCGGCGACTCCGGCGGCGAATAACTGGAAAACGGCTATACCTCTCCTCTCGCCGTTAGCTCTTTCTCCTGAATCATCACCGGTTGAACAACCACCGGTTGAGAATCAGACGACGGCGAAGGCGGTTGAGAAAACGCCGGTTTTCAAGAAATGGCAGCATCCGGCGGCGCCGTTCTATTACGAGTCATCGACGTTTGTTCCACCGTTTGTTCCGGTTTAGTATTGGTTTAGAGATCCAACGGCTCAAAAGTACAGTTTGTTTGTTTTATTTGGGTCTGTGTAGATCTAACGGCCCAGAAAACGCGTTTCGTGCGTTTTTACTATTTCGTGGTTGGAACAAACGCGATTTTCGTATAGAATTTTAATAAATAAAAAGATTATTAAATTAATAAGCATGTTTCTGTTACTGGTTTTGTGGTCCGAAACATAAAAGCTAAAGTCCAATTTAATTCAATTTTTTTCCGCCAAGTCCAATTTAATTATTGTGGATGTTTCTGCGTATAAGTGTAACGTTGTCGAAATGTGTGGACACAAGATTAATGTGGTCACACTTATTTATAGGTTACTATTGGAAAATTGTGGATTCATCGATAATATTACTAAAATTATGCATATAATCTTTTGTAAGTTTATCTTCTTGTATTTCTTTTGATGATATTTTAGAAATTATGCATATAATCTGAGATTGAGAGGAGCGAGCTTGAGAACTCCAATACTAAACTTTGATTAAATTCAAATTCTAAAGTATTAGGGGTTGATTCATTTGAAAACTCTAGATAACATGGTCACAATTCTAAATAATGTGGGCACAATTATTTAGGTTATTATTGGAAAAAAATTTGGTATCATCGAAACATTTTAGAAATCAAACTTCCCGTTCTGAATTATTAGGGGTTGATTCGTTTGAAATAAGGGTGTAGAGATTTTTATCTTTATAAAAAGTCCATCAGTATAACTTGTGGATTATTTTCGTCAATATAATAAAAAGGGAAATTAGAATTCTTCATTTTTTAGTTAAAGTAAATTATCTCATATAAATCGATAATACTGTACTTGGTCAGAAACTTTACAAGAGTGTTAATCAAATAAGCATTAATTACTCTTGCTATTTGATCACCTAACCAAATAACTATGAGGACTATGAACCAAACTAATGAACTAATTTTTTTTTTCACCTAATCCTAGGCCGTACACACGAGGCTTTAACATATGGTGCATGGATGACATTGTACCCACATGAGATTGTTGTGTGTGTGTGCAATATTTTGTACTACCTATAGAATATCAATATATGGAAATCTCTAGATGTGTTGATTTGCAACTAAAAGTGATATGTTTTGATGTTGTTTCTTAATGCCCAAACAAAATTCTCTAACTAGTCGTTGGATCATTCTCTAAATCTCGATTATTGACTTTCTGAATTCAGTTTTAAATGCTTTCAATAAAAGGCTTTTAATTATTGACTTTCTGAATTCAGTTTTAAATGCTTAAAATCTATAATAAAATAAAAGTATAGTAAAATTTTGAGTTTATATCTAATCTTAATAAACGAAATTATAGTAAAAGTATCAAAAAGAAGAGGTGTATTGAATTTTTGGATTTAGTTTTCAGTGTTTAAAATCTGAGAGTGATAAAGTAATAATATAAACTTTAGGATTATATTTAAATAGATAACTAAATCTAAACTAAAGTACAAATAGATAAAAGTTAAAAACTAACGACGTCTCTTACTCAATGCGGTTGAATTTTTTTCTAAACTTCATTTAGTCCACTTAGATTCAACACCCTTATTAAATGGATTCAACTATTTAAACATTTGTTCAACACCCATTGTAACTAGTTTTAAAGCCCACTTTTCAATCTTCACAAACCGGGAAAGAAAGATGAAGAACTCTTCTACAATTTTATTCGTACTAGTTGTCTTTTTCTTCATTTCTTCTTCAGGTATTTTTAAATAAAAATTATTATTATTGTTTGATATATTAATTTTGGTAATTTATTGCAAAAAATGGCATGCAAAATATTATGTTGTGTTCTTGCTGTAAATAGTTTTTATATTTGGTTTTGATAAATAGAGAATGGGAAAATTGTAGGAGAAAGAAAAAAGTGTTTTGATGGATGGACTTGTTTAGGAGAAGACAAATGCAAAGTAAAGTGCATGGCTAAACACAAAGGAGTTGGAACCTGTAACTTGTATACTATTCCTTCTTTCCCTGCTCCGGGAGCTTCTTATATTTGCGATTGCAAGTTTGATTGCTAACCTTTCTATCCAAACTACACTTTTAATCCGTTAAATCTAATGATAAATGAATAAATTAAACATCTTTTTTTTTTTTTTTTTACTTTTATCGCCATTTTTGTATCATTTATCAATTATCTTTTATATATTCGATCTTATTATATAAAGCTTGATATTTCTCAAAAGAATTAGACATGAATCAAAATTATAATTAACAAGATCGCGATACATGATTTACTTAAGTTACATCATCCTTGATGGAGTACCGGTCCTCCCCCATGCTAAGTAGGGTCTTTGAAATTCCTGGAAAATAAACTTTCCAATTTGGAGCAAAAGTAAATCAAACGATTTAAGACACAATTTGCAAGTGTTTGCATGGAATCAATTATCCAACTGCGCATGGTCATTTGCAGTTGATTATCTTAACACCTTAGGTAATGAAAAGAGTTAGATCATGTGGAAAATCCTTCCCTAAGTATATGCATTAGTGTTTGCACAAGAAGAAAAAAAAACAAAAAAAACTTAGTGACAAAATCCAATGTTAAGCCTTTTTTTCTTTCTAATGTTAAACTTCCCTAAGTATATATGCATTAGTCAAAAAACTCGTTTCTGTAGACGGTGAAGAAAGACGATCTCTCGTTGACCCTTTGATCTGGCGGCCGCTAGCTCAATATCAAATTTATTTGTTTTGAATTTGGCGATGATAGATACAATAATTTATAGCCGTTGGATTTTTTTTTTTTTGTCAAGTTGCATAAAAAACTAATCTAATGTGATCTACCACTTCGACCTAAATAGTGGACATAATTATTGAAACTACAAGTAAGAAAAGAAATTTGGAAATTAGGTAGACACAATTTTAACGAAGAATAAATGAGAATGCTGGCTACTCACCATCACAATTCTATCATATTTCAAAACATTGTTTATATGATGTTTGATGATGTTCTACATTGCACAGATAACTAGCCGTAGCATTATTAAATATGTTGGTCTAAATGAAATGATTTCTTTCATGTTAGTGATGTGTGAATCTTATAGTAGAAGGTTGGCATTCTAAGAAAAAAAAAATGTTCAATAAGATCTCAATGTTTAAATCGAATTCCGCATCTTCATAACGGTTACATTTGTTTTTTTGGTGTTAATTTGTGATTTAAATAGTGTTTTGATGACTTTGATAAAATCATCGAAAATAAATAAATAAAATATTCTAAACGATTGATAAAGAGTTTTCTATAATCTTGTTGATTAGTTTTTCCATAATCTCGTAAAGTTTCCCAAACAATCTCTCTGTTTTGATGATACTTAACATGATTTTATTTTGTGAAAAAAAATATATAAAATCATAAACCAATAACATAACAATTTAATTCATTAACAATCAGAGATTCTTTTATTTTTGTTAAATAACACAAAACTTTTATTGACTTTATAAAATTCGAATCCAATAACCCCAAATTTAGAATATGTATTAAACTCTTTTATGTACGGAAAGATTTAGATTTAGATTTAATAAAATCTTGACTGAAAAACTATAGATTCTACATAACATTTTAAGTTATTAAAACACTATTTAAATTACCAACCATAACATCCTCTTAGAGTTGTTATTAAACTCTCTTAAAATTTGGTGTTATTAATTTTTGACTTGTAAAAAATCTTCTAAAATCATCATAAATTTTCAAAAACCCAGTAAAAAAAATGAAGAACTCTTCTCTCCTATTCGTACTAATTGTCGTTTTCGTCATTTCTTCTTCAGGTAATTGTGTTTGCTATATCATTATCATTATTTATTATATTAATTTCATCATTTAACCTGCAAAAATGAGATGACACATACATTTTGTTGTGTTCTTGTTTAGAACTGAGAAAAAATAAACTAAAATATAAAACTAAGAGAAAGATAAACTATGTAAATAAAATGTTTTAGTCTTGTTTTGATATATAGAGAACCAAAAAATGGTAGGAGAAGCAAAAAAGTGTAAAGCTGGATGGGCTTGTTCTGGAGAAGATATATGCAAAGAAAAATGCATGGCTAAATACAATGGTGTTGGCACTGTTACTTATTTTTCTTTCCCTCCGGAAACTATTACTATATTGTGCGATTGCGTGTATGATTGCTAATCTTTCTATCCAAAACTAATTTTGTTTAATCCGTTAAATCTTATGATAAAAGAATAAATGAATCCTCTCAGCTTTCTTTCATTCTTTTGCCTTAATCTGCAACTGTAAGTCATGGATAGAACAAAAATACGACACTACAGCATTTTTTATTATCTCTAATATTGTTTCACTGTGACTATATACCTAAACCATTATATAGATCACATATATAGACCGATGAAGAAAGACGATAAATCCTTTCCTTACGATATTAACAACGGTTGGTTAGAACCACATGGAATAATCTGCCACACAGCTGTGGTCCAGTGGTAGTTGAAAATTGGAGAAATGTTGGAAGAAACTAATTCAGGTTCGATCTACGCTGGAAACAATAAAAAACAACATAGTTTACTTGGTAGTCAGTAACAGGCGATCTGACTACATCTGACATTAGTCGAAAAACATTCCAAACTCGGGATAGACAATGTGGTGGTCTTTTGGGGAGAAGTTCACTCTGAAACACTTCTGTGCGTTTCTACCGGGACTGACCGGATCAGCTGATAGGGTTTATCAAAAAAATCACATAGAATAAGTTCAAATCCTAGCATTCTTGAACTGTAGTTGAAAGAACGACATGTTAACTTCTCAAACGTAGCTATCCAGTCTATTTCCATTTCGATGTATGAAGTAAATTGGGCCTTAATAAAGAAACGGGCCTAATTTCGGAACCGGCCATGAAATGTCAAACTCAATAAGGTAATTTTAATTTTTAAAGCGAATTGATTATTATTATGGATTAGTACAAAAATAATAATAGTATCAGACGTGATGCATGTGATAAGGATCCAAATGGAAAAAATTGACACAAAGAAAGAATGATTTTAAGAAATGTGGGGCGAAAGTTGTTGGCTCACCACGCCCTGACTAATAATCCTCTTATCTAATTGTATAATAACAATGCCAAAGGAATTAAAATTTTTAGTTTTTCTTTTTATTGAGATAATTGTTGTAGAATAATACTTACTATGTGCTTGTGAATTGTGGTCATCTGAGATTTGTATGAAATATCACCATTTCTATTATACTAAGTTATTTCATTTTCATCTTTATCAATGTATATTCTACAACAATGCAAAGGAAATAATATTTATAAATTCATCGAAAATATAGAATAAGTGTCTCGAACTCACACTAAAAAATTAAGTTTTCTTCAGTTTTTAGTGGATTTTTTTCAAAACGTCGCTCTGAAAATGTAAATAGGAATAATCGAATTCAAAAAAAAATTGTGTGGATTTTTTCTGCTTATTTTTTTTTTAATACCAGGATGTTCTGGACCAAAATCCGTAATCTCAACAAACCCGAAACCACAACATATAAAATTAGTTTCGTCCCAAGCGTCACTCGAACCAGCGATCTCTTCAGTTTTTTGCATTTTCTTAATCTTATCTTAATTTGATGTTTTTGATACTGCCTTCCATACAAAATAATAAAATAAAAACTTGTGTACATTAGTGTTTTTTTAATATTTACTTATGAGATTATTTGTTTAGTAGTAAGAATATACATTTAAGAGAAGTTTGTGAATTTTATTGCAAAATAATAAATATTTGATGATTAGGAAATCCCACTGAGATAGAAATCAACATGTATTTTTCTTTATATTGTCTCTGTATGCTTTGTCTCGTCTTCACATGAAGAATTTTTAGTCACCAACTCCTTCTCACCTCAACTAATTTATCCTCTAGAATAGAATATTTATTTCTTGTTTAATCAAAACATTTCAAACACGACACAACGAATTTGAATATTTAAAAATTCTAATTCCGTGTTGAAAAATGTCACTTGATTTTGATCCTAGATTTTTCTTTCAAATTAGGTCAACGAAAAAAAATTGGTTTTGAAAAGATGGAGAAAGTTGCGAATTTCTTAAGTTTTGTGAGTGTAAATTAGGTAATCTTTAGCCGACAAAAAATCCAAAGAGAATGGAGACAACAAGAAGAACATCATCGGTCAAACAAATTCTTTCTTGTATTCAACTTTTTAAGTGTTTCTTTGTTCCCAATGTACAGAGCCGTAGCTGGATAGAAGCAAGAGAAGCGGGAGCTGCGGTCCTCCGAGAAGTTATTAATATTTTCGGCCCTCAAATACCAATGTATTTTGGTAGCCTAGTGGTATTATGTCATACACCACATATCTTAGGTCATAAGTTCGAATCACCTAAAGCGTGAGATAAGTTTTTTTTTTGTTTTTTTTATGGTTAAATTTTTTTATAAGTATACACTTTTCTAGAGCGGCTCTTTTTTTTTTTTCCGCGGGCGGCCCTCATAATCGTTGCTACGGCTCTGCCAATGTATTGGTCTCTCAAGTTATGATGATGTCACGCTCACACAATAGTTATTCTCTGATATTCGAATTTCATTACACAAAGATTTCATTCTATTGGGGAAAAATGATGAAACCGAGAACCTACATCTATTTTATAAGAACTTTGTAACAGTTTCCAAAGATTATCAATAAGAAATTTCATAAAAACGCTCCACCTATTGTTGCTTTATAATATTGTCGATGTTTGAACGTTTTTTGACATTTAAATCTAAAGAAATCTCGCATCTTAGCAGTTATTGGTTCATGGATTTTTAAGGATTTGGAAATCCAAATAAAAATCATTCGTTATTCAATTATTGATTTTAAAATCCTAATTAAAATCATGTGTTATTCGTTCTATGATTTATAAATACTAGTGAAAATCTTATGTTATTCGTTTAATCATTTGTTTTTGGATTTCAAAATCCAAATTATGTTTTAAATGAATTTGAAAGAGAAAAATAGAAGGATTCAAATCCATGGATAAACACATGTTATTTCAAAATTCATATGTCTTGATTTCATAATTAATAAAAAAATTTCAAATCGTAAATAAATTTACAAATCAATAAACCAATAACACCCCGAGAAATCTTAAAATATCAGAAATCTTAAAATTTATCAATGCTATTTAACTATATACATTTACTAATTTAGGATTATTAATATATTATATACTATTTGTTTCCAAGAATTGTTTATTATAATCCCCACTTGAAATGTGGAGGATATCCATGAATCCACAAAACAAAAAAATATTACAAAAATCAAAACTTTCATATCCAAAATTATATGTTATACAAAATTTAGCATGATTGATGTATATTCTGTGATTAGTTATTATATATGAGACGTCTATTTGTAATGAGCTCTAAGGTTTTGAAGTTTAGTTTTAGATAAAAAAAATGCTTTACAACATTTCAGTAATGCACGTTAAGCTTAAAAAAAATCTTTGTAAAAAGCTATCACTCCAATACATGACCAAAAGACCTCTAAACATGACATATATAACATTTTTTTCTTTATAAGATGATTTTTAATACTGGCAAAAAAAAAAGAAGATTATTTTTAACAAAAATTGTGGATAAGAAAAACATTAACAAACGAGATAATTAAATGAATTATTTGAAATTCCCCAGATATAAAATTAAATAGGTTGAAAATTTGAGTAAAATATAAAAATACAAAAAAATTGAAGAACATTAGTGGAGCAAGTACTAGCTGCAACATCACTCCCTTTCAAAAAATTCAATAACAACTCTCTCTTCTTCTCTCTATCTCTCTCTCTACTCCACTTTTCTCAAAATCAAACCCAAATTTCACAACTTCCAAAATCCTCTCTCTTTCTCTTACAAGAACCTTGCGAGTTAGGTCCAAAGTTGAAAGCTTCTTCTCTCATCAAACCCTTCTTCTTCACCACTTTTACTTTCTCCTTCTCCAATCCCTCAAAAGCTCACATCAATGGGTACATTTTCTTTTTGAGAACCGCCCATAATCCCCAATGATTAAACCCTTTTCATGCGCGAATCCCACTTCATTTCTTCGTTCCTCGAGAAAGCTAAATGTCTTAATCAAAAACCCTTTTCTTTTTTTCCACGGATCTGTTCTTAATCTTCCATAAAGATTCAAACTTTACTCGAAATTGTTTCAAAGTTTCGATTTTTACAATGGTTTCAGAAGCTTGGATTGTGAAAATGAGAAACCAAGTAAGTGCTAATCTCAAACACGCTCTTCTTCTTGAATCTTCCACTAAGAAAACCCCTAAAAGCTCTTCTCTTCCTAAACAAACAATTGGAATCTTATCTTTCGAAGTAGCTAACATTATGTCCAAAACCATTCACCTTCACCGTTCTCTGTCCGATACAGAGATCTCTAAGCTCAAATCCGAGGTTTTTCGGTCTGAAGGAGTTAGAAATCTTGTTTCTTCCGATGAGAATCATCTTCTTGATCTCGCTGTCTCTGAGAAGCTTGATGATTTGAGCCGTGTAGCTAGTGTTGTGTCTAGGTTAGGTAAGAAATGTAACGAACCTGCTTTACAAGGATTTGAGCATGTTTATGAAGATATAGTGAATGGGGTTATTGATTTTAGGAAGTTAGGGTTCTTGGTTAAAGATATGGAATCTATGGTTAAGAAGATGGAGAGATTTGTGAATGCTACTTGTAGTTTGTATTGTGAAATGGAAGTGATGAATGAGCTTGAACAAGCTATAGTGAAGCTTCAGAGAAGTCAGCAACATCAAGAGAGTGTTAAAGCTTTTGAACAGAAGCTTATGTGGCAGAGACAAGACGTGAGAGGTCTTAGAGATGGTTCGTTGTGGAACCAAACTTATGATAAGGTTGTTGAGATGTTGGCTAGAACTGTTTGTACTATTTATGGTAGGATTGAAACTGTTTTTGGTGGTTTGGGTTTGAGAGGGAAAAAGGATGTGACTTTGAAGAGAGATCGTAGCAAGAATGAAGCGAGTAAGGTTGTTAACTCGAGGTCTGTTGCGGGGTTTAAGGATTCGAGGAGAAGTGAAGCAGAGGAGTTTACGCGTGCAGGGGATTTCAATTTCCCTTGTGGGACTAATCCTGGTAGGATGTTTATGGAATGTCTTGCTATGAATAGGACTATTGGTGATGATGATGATGATGAAGATGATGCTCGGATTACATTTCCTTTGAATACAGCTCGGATGATTCGGACTAGTAAGTTTGGTTTTAAGAGCAGGTTAACTCAACATGCTTCAGCTTCAACTATTGGAGGTTCTGCTTTATCTTTGCACTATGCGAATGTTGTGATTGTGGTAGAGAAGCTTCTCAAGTACCCTCATCTAATAGGCGAAGAAGCAAGAGACGATCTTTACCAAATGTTACCAACGAGTTTGAAAACAACGCTCAAAGCCAATCTTAGATCGTACTTGAAGAACATTTCGATCTACGACGCTCCTTTAGCTCATGATTGGAAAGAAACAATAGACGGTATACTGTCCTGGCTTGCACCTTTAGCTCACAACATGATCCGGTGGCAGAGCGAACGCAACTTCGAGCAGAATAATCAGATTGTGAAGCGAACGAATGTTCTTCTACTTCAGACGCTTTACTTTGCTGGTAGAGAGAAGACAGAAGCTGCAATTTGTAAACTTCTTGTCGGGTTAAACTACATTTGCCATTACGAACAGCAACAAAACGCGTTGCTGGATTGCGCGAGTAGCTTTGATTATGAAGATTGTTTCGAGTGGCAGAGCCAATGCCGTGCAGCTTACTTGGACTAACAATTGGGGTTTTTTTTTTCTTCTTTCTTTCTTCTTCTTAGTGTTGTTTTATAGATACATTTGTTTATGATTCAACACAATGTGAATATCTAAATCTCTAGTTTCGTTTGCATACATAAAAAAAATGATTGTGAAAATTGAAGTTCTATTGTTGATTACTCCAATCTTTAGTTAAACAATGTTAAGTGTATGTGTGTTATTGAAGAATCTGAGCTTTTTTGAAAGACATATAATAAAAGCCAACCCAACAAGAGGGAGGGATGTTAGGTGATGAAGGCATTTAATTAGAGAGATTGGGTAGAGAAAAGTGCATTGATGTTTTTTTGAACCAAGCTTGACAATTTTGTGGTTGGGATTTTTTTTTTGTGTGTCAAGTGTGAACGATGAGAATTTCACTTATTATTGCAATTGATTGTTGTTGTTTTGTAGGAGGAATGAAAACGAAGTTAATAATGTTTATTGGGCCAAGGCTTATGGGTTTTGAGCCTCACCTTATATTGACTAAAGAACTAGATCAACCTTTGGCCCAAAGTTTCTCTTTATATCACTCGTCGTTGGTTAAGGACTTTTTTTTTTTTTTTTGGGCAAAACAAGACTTGATTTTCATTCATGCATCCAAGCAAAACAAATCCAAGTACAAGAGGAAGGAAATCAAAGGTTCAAAGACAACATAAAGAAAGATAGAAAAATTCGACTTGTGATCCATAAACGCTTGAAGACCAAATCTAACGAGCAGATCGGAATAAGCAACTCCATGGTGGGTCGAACACACTTCCACGAGTAATCCGGGAGGTGAGGAAATGGTCACGGTCATAAGACAAAGTGACGTTGAAGAAGAGTCCAAGACCTTAATAGTGACGTTAAGGTCTCTTCTTCATAGTTTTTTGTTTTCTCAATACTTCAATTTTGAATTTCTGATAGATACTAGAAGACAACAATAGTTGATATACTTAAATTCCTCTGACCAACATCAAATGTTAAGACAAGCTTATTTATCGTTTGTGAATGACGTGATCACAAGCAAACAAGAATTTTGGATCGAATTGACTATATTTTGGATAATACGAAGAGACTATTTTATCTGCGTTTGTGTTTTTTTTCAAAGACCTAAAAAAAGAGACAGGAATTTCTTTACTTTTTAGCCAAAGATTTAAAGGAAAAGCAAAAATTCTATGTGATGTGTTCACATATTATACTGTTTTTTTTTTTTTTGGTATAATCAAAAGGAGATTATGATTAACACATGTCTCGGTCCCTTTTTGGTATTTTGTTCGACTTTGAATGGAACTTATAATAGAAAAGAAAAAAATGTATAATACACCGAACATCTTTCTATTTGTGAGTATGTATAAAACACCGGAATCAAGACTTTTCAACTCTGCGCAAATCATGAAAATCATTTTTGTCAGCTATTTTGACTAAGGACGACCACTTTGGTCTTGATCTTATAGTTCAAGACTTCTTCAAACCATTATCATTATCATTTCTGCTTCATATAGCAAATTTTGTTTGGTCAACTAATAGTCTATATATAATATCATTTGTGCTTCTAGATAATCATTTTTTGAAAATAGTTTCTTATGAAAAATAACTTACAACAATTATCTTAATAGTTACAAATTTCCTAGATTCTATACTGGTGTATATAAGAAACTGTTAAAATTAGCTACTTCTTCTGTTTATAGAAAAATGATGTTTTGAGTTTTATACACTAATTAAGAAAAAATCACTTGTATATTTTTTTATTGTTTATTATTAGTTTAATAATATTAATCTCACTTCTCTTCTTTCTCTATTGGTTACTAATAAAAATAGTAATGATGATATTACAAAACATCAATCTTTGTGGAACAAGAAAAAAATCCAAAATATCAAATATTTAGGAACAAAAGAAGTATTAACTAAGTATGAGTAAATTAATAAAATATTAATGGTTAATACATAATATAATTAGACAAACACATCAATTATATTACTTAGAAAATAACATAGTACTGTATGAGTTATCAATCTTTTTTTTTTTTCTTGAGGCGGCCCGGAAATATTTGGATTTTTGAAAGTAAAGTGAAAGAGTGGTGATCTATTTGGACATAATTGTTTTCACTGTAGTTGTCCAATAATTACTAGTAGTATTTAAACTAATAATTAAGACTATTCTGTCAAAGATTGTCGGGTTCGAAGAAACAAATGTATAAGCACAAGTGGGTTTGAATATATAATTGCAAGTAACGTAAACCCATCTCTCCCCTAGAATCACTTTCTGCAAATCCAATCCATTTATACTTTAGTTAAATAGGCTCGAGGAATGTGCAGTTTTGTTTAATGTAATCTTCATCTAGTCCAGGGGGCATGAATCTAACAATTTCTAATATTATATATTTCGATTAAGGATTTTAACTAATAAAGTCACACATGTGTTTCAATAATTCTTTTGTTTGAAAAGTTTACAAAGTGGCAGACGACATTATCTACAACTTTTTCAAGTTCCGGGATAATTTAAGAAAAGGTAATTACTTATCCAATTATAGTTTGTGGGGAATAAGTGATAAATGCACAGCTCTAATATCTTCTAGAGAATTAACTTGATGTATAGTAGTAAGTAGTAACGAAGAAATTTTATCTTCAAAGCTCTATAATACCATATTCAGTTTCGTAATTTTTTTTGTTTTATTTATCTTGTGGTTAGTTAAATAAAGGTTGGAGGAGCCACTTACTGTATTTTTTCTTATAAATTGACAACATGTCACGTGCTCACATAACTTATGCATTATAAGTTTTGTAAATTGAACCCAATTCATTCACCCCTTTTTAATCACCAATCAAAATTTGACATGTCATTTAACTAAAACAACTAATATTATCTAAACAAAATAATTAAACTAAATCATTAAAAACTCAAAATTAAATTAATTGTAGGTCCTACTACTCTCTCTCCCACGTCTCTCTCTTTTGTTTTTCAAATATTTTTTTTCTTTAACTATAATAAAAATGTAAAAAAAATAATTTAGTTTCATCAGATTTAATCATTAAAAATTAAAATTGAATTAATTGTGGGGCCACTAACTCTCTCATTCACGTAACACTCCTAAATCCAATAGGAAAAAAAATTTAATAAGTCAATAAAAAACCCTAATTCTAAATGTTATATAAAATCATTAACCCTAACCTTATTCATAATTTTTTTCTATTCTTCTTCTCACATATCATCAAAAGAGATTAGTTTTATCAAAGGAAAGAGTTTCATTTTTTCTATTCTTCTTCTCACATATCATCAAAAGAGATTAGTTTTATCAAAGGAAAGAGTTTCACGTTTCTACACAATTTAAACGTAAGTCAAAATAATTTTTATATTTACATCAAAGTTTCTTAGTTTAAAAATTAGTCAATTGAAAAGTATGAATAATATTTTGAAAAGATACTTGAAGAGTAGTTATGACTTGTTGTCCTTCTTTGAACACTATGAGAGAGTGTTGGATGATCGGCGATATAACGAGTTAAATGCTGACTTCAAAATGATGCATACCTCTTCGGTATTATCTGCTATCGTAGAGATGTTGCAACATGCAGAGGAGGTGTATACACCCAAAGTTTTTAAGTTGTTTCAGAAGCAATATACAGTTATCGGTGATTATGTTGCTAAAAAAGTCAGTAAGTCTGAGATGGTGTATGAATACAAAGTATCTTATCGTGGTGGACCGCGAGAGCATTTGGTTAATTATGATGCTACAAACCAAACGATACAGTGTAGTTGCATAAAGTACTCTTTTGCTGGGATCTTATGTCGTCATGCATTGAAAGTATTGGATAAGAAGGATGTTAGGAGAATTCCATCTAGCTACATCTTGAATCGATGGAGTAAAGAGGCAAAATCACGAAACATATTTTCTTATCGTTCAGAGACATTTAATGGAACAGTAACGCAATCGATTGGAAAGCGTTATAGCCATTTATGTCACAATTTTCGTGAGATTGCATCTTTTGCTGCTGAACATGTAGAATTGACGATGTGTGCGAATGAAGCTGCATGTGAATTGCTTAAAAAATTGGAGGAAAAGAAAAAAGAACTTGTGAAGGCTAATGCATGGATGCTCCCAACTTCAAATGTTGAACATGTCGAAAGAGAAGAAGAAGACGAGGAAGTTCTAAATGCACGTGGAATTAAAAGAAAAGCTACTGTTGGACGACCAAAGAACAAAAAGATCGGACCCCACGGTCGATATTTGAATGCTCTTGAAACGAAAAAACGGGGTACATCAAAGAGAAAATTATCGTTTCAGGTATTTGATAAATAATTCTTCTTTTTTCGTTTATGTCCAATTTCCAGCAAAACGTGACTTCGTCAATATATGTATATATATTAATTACAAGATCAAATTGATAAATGCTTCAGGACTCAACTTTTGCTACCAGCAATCCGACATTACAGCCAGAGCCATTTTCCTCGCAAGTGCTACAAGTAAACTATTCATTCTTACTATTTATATTTGATTTTTCGGTGACTTCGTCAATAGATGTATGTATATTAATTACAAGATATAATCGATAAATGCTTCAGGATTCAACTTTTGCTTCCGATATCCACTTATCTGTAGCTACAAGCAGCCCGACTTTACAGACGGAGTCTTTTTCTTCACAAGTGTTTCAGGTAAATAATTTACTCTTACTATTTATATTTGACTTTTCGGTCAAATTTTTCATGATTTGAAATCTTATATTTTGTAGGAATTTGACAAAAGTTACGGAGATTTATTGTAAAGCTCGATCATTTTGAATACAAAGTCAGAAAACATATGGAAATGCTAAAGCTTTACTATTAATTATTTTGGTTAAATTATTTTTTTTACATTTTTTATTAAAGTTGAAGAAAAACAATATTTGAAAAAAAAAAAAAAAAAAAAGAGAGAGACGTGAGAGAGAGTAGTAGGGCCTACAATTAATTTAATTTTGAGTTTTTAATGATTTAGTTTAATTATTTTGTTTAGATAATATTAGTTATTTTAATTAGATGACATGTCAAATTTTGATTGGTGATTAAAAAGGGGGTGAATGAATTGTTCGTAAAGTAACTAATCAGAAAACCGTGGTTATGTGATGGCCTGATGGGTGACTAATGTATACGTATATTTGTTAGCAATTGCACTATTGGTATTTCTTCTAT